GAGGCTGCCCCGCAGGTACGGAGCCTCCGCTCCGCCCGTCCCCGGCAGCGGGGAGGAACGGGGCGCGGGAGCAGCGTCACCCACGGGACAGTCGCGGGTGGCTGCGCCCCACCCGAGGAAGCACCCGCAGGAGAGCAAACCCCGAGTTAAGCAGGGAGAGCCAGGACGGCTCTCGACCCAGTCCCCGAAGGGAAGGCTGCGGCGAGGAGAGGGCAAAGACGGCCCCGGCAAGCGATAAAACGCTGCGTTAGTCAGTCAAAACACCAGACAACAGAGCTCAGCGAGGGTCAGGTGAAAAGCCCCAAGGCAAAGGAGTTTATTTGTAAACTGGTTTTTTGTTCCTGTGAGAGCACCAAAACAACTGCACAGGGTAATAGAGTTAAAAGGCAGATAGAACAAACCGGTGGATTTCACATACATTGAAGTGCTGCTGGTCACGACCTGTTAAAAACCCAACTGGAGATCAGCTTTGAAAGTCTGTCTTGGCTCCAGCTCTGCGACTTGCTTTGCTCCCGAAGTCAAGAAAGCATCTTTATCTTTTTAAAGAAGCACAGACAGACCGTCCTCCCACCAGCTCTTTGTATATCTGCATTACAGCTTTAGGGAGGGAGCAGCTCCTTTGCAATCCAAGCTCTGAAAGGTAGTTGAGTCTTTTTCCATATAAATATTTCAGAGACAGAAATGCCAAAGTCAGTAGAATAAGCTGTTGCTCTCAATGCTTTAAATTGCAGCTTTGAGTTTTGGATACTTTCGTTAGTTCACTCATTCTTGCTGTTTTTCAAAACAGCTGAAACACGCCACCTACTGGCCACGTATCCATGAATAAGAAGATGCATTACCCAGGCTCTCGTTCAACTTGGCAAAAATTCAGTCTGGTTGGTTGCTGAAGTACTGGGATGCAGGTCTAAAGAATAATACAGGTTAGAGCTCAGGGAGAGAATCCACACACCACTCGGATAAAGTGATCCAGCAAGCACAAACACACATAGTACCGTTAAAAAAGAATATTCAGGTAATATCTCTGCAAGGTAACTTCACCCGAGATCCATCTAGTGTTGAAAGTAGATTATTTTCTAAAACTGGAGCAGCACTTCAGCTCCTCAAACCAAGTTAGTAGTGTATAAAGGATAAAGAAAAACTTTACGTTTCCTGCTCTGTTTAAACTGTCCTATCTGAAATATGTTTGGGGTTTTTTTTCCCTCCACTCTTGCACTTAGTTGTACACTCCTACAAAACATAACCCACCACATTTGCACAACAGTGCATTTGTCTGTTGACTTCTATCTGAAATATGTTTGGGTTTTTTTTTCCCTCCACTCTTGCACTCCTACAAAACATAACCCACCACATTTGCACAACAGTGCATTTGTCTGTTGACTTGCGATCATAGGCTTTGTCACATCTCCTCAGTGACGCTCACACCTAAGTTGCCTCCAGAGAAGAAAGCGGTTCATAGGTCTCTTAAGGGAAGCAAGATGGTTCAGACACTCCTAGATGAGTCACAATTGGAAGCTCATTTTACAGTGCTAAGAATAAAAGTCTTAATTCTGTGTAACAAGTTGCACAAGAGAAAGTTCTTCAAAGTCATACCCCAAAAGAGAAACACAAGTATGCTGCAGTCAGACACTGAACTCCAGGTATCACCTCACCACCCACAACCACAACACACCAACATTTCAGCAATACATTCCCATTCCTAGTCTTACAGGCCCCATATGGCTAGCTTTTGGTTCCAAATCCTAAAAACACTTACATCAGGGCTGTACCTGAAATGGGTACAGCTATCCTAGAGGGCCAAGTTGCTACTTCCTGCTCTTGGTTTTGAAAAATGCTCTTCTGAGGAAGTGCCTATGTGCACACACCTTTATACCTATATAGTGTATATATGTGTGTGTGTGTCTGCATAAAGGCATGAGAGAAGGATCAGACTGAAGAGCTAGTTAGCTCAGTCCATTTCACAAGGCTTAAACAATGGAAAAGGGATACAGTTGAAGAACATAAACAGACCCTTCACAAGTGGAAGAGTAATGTATACATCTCTGAAGCCAGCTGTCAAACTTAGCTTTATGGCTCTGTATAAGAAGTTGTTTCCCCTCATGCCAAAGAAAGAAAAGTCAATATTAAAAAGAATAAAAAAATTCAATATACTTTGATGTAAGCTAAATCTCTAAAGCCACTCTGAGCAAGATCAGTCTTAGATTTTTTCCAAATTGATATAAATTCAAGCCAGAGCATTAGCAACCCTAGAAAACAGAAATAAGCAGTTTTTCATGTTCAACATCCAGAATTAAAATGCACCTTCACCACTAATGCAAGGAACATGCAAGTAGTTACAGTATAAATAAACCCCTTTTTTCATTGCTTAGATTGCATAGTACAAAACAAAATGACATGCACATATTAAAAAAGTGCTGGAAGGAAGGGGAATAATCAGCAGGTGCAAAGTGACTGCAATTTGTGACCAGAGCTTGTGTGTTCCACATTCAGTGCGCTAGTCATCTCTTCAGAGAAAAGAGTGAAACATCCCGGAGGCTGCGCAGGCTGGCGCTGATGTCACGCCTCTGTTTTAGATTGCATCTTCCCGTGTACTGGGTCACATAACTTCCAGGCACATGTCCCCTCCGGGAGAGAATATCCACCATGTGGCTAAGCTTCGACCTGATAGTGGTATAGTGGAAGTGCCTCTCTTTATGCAGTTTTTGGAAATATTCTGCCCTGTGACTGCTAGAATATTCAAAGGACCGGAGAGAAGAGAGTGAGCCAGTGGAGCTTGCAAGAGAGCACTGGGACAATGAAGACAGTGATCGCAGACTAGAGCTTGATACAGCCTTTCCAGTCAGAGAAGATCCTTCTTTTGACAGCTTCCTGTGAAGCAGGGGTGTTTCTGTGTACTCCTCTTCCTTTGTCTGTGTCACTGCAGTCTTCAGCAAAACTGAAGTCTGAGTGCCCGTCGTTTTAGCAGCGACAGAGGTCTGAGTGCCAGTTTCTGCTGTTACTGCAGAGGTCTGTGTGGCAGCATTACGCGCAGTCACTACAGGCTTCTCTTCCCACGGGCCGGTTTGAGTCGATGCGCTTTTCCGTTCCACTATGGCCTCTTGATCCCTGAACCACTGCTCTTCACAGAGGCAAGAATGGCCCAGGTTCCAGGGTTTGCCTCCAGAAGTATCTTCAGCCAGATCTAGTTCTTTCGACAGTTTCTTTGGAGTACTAGCCAATCTGGCAAATTCTGCTCTCAAGTTGTCTTCCACAGTGTATTCCCTAGGGGACTCGACTCTGTTTGCCAGGTGATCAAACATCCCACTGTTCCTGCTGCTGGACAGCCATTTAGGGCTGATGGGCATTGACTGGGCATAAAGAATCCTGAACTGGAGGTCAAAGTGTTCAACCACTTGACCTGACAACAGCAGTAAGTTACTGCTGTTCAGCTTCCCATCAGACCACGTGAAGCTATAGAAAACAAACCAAAATTCACAGTTAATCTCCAGTGCATTTCACCACATACAGATTGCAGGACTCAGCTAACAAGTGTGCATCAGGCAGGTATAAAAGTCAATAGACTATTCACTCTCTCCCTCAGGAAAAGCTCTACTTAGCCAAGGCCAAGTGCTTTGCTAGCAACAAGCTGTGTAAATCCATTTTCCAAAGCTGTTCCCAGTTTTGTGTTAGTCCCACTTAGACTCAGCTAGTCCACTTGCCAATGGCATTCATTAATACCAGGCAAACAGCAAAGTTAATACATCCTTCTTGCAAACCCCCTCCCTTTCTACAGCCTCATCAGGTACTAGCAGACCCCAATACTTGCCTGTAGGAGCCTGTTGTCACTCTGATGCCATCAATTAACATGAACTTCTCATGGACTTTACCAACAATTTTGGCACCCGACCTCATGTAGTATGTGTTCCCAGTGAGAGTTCGAACTCTCATCATCTGTTTCAGAAAATAAGGGTAAAAGTAACATGAGATACAAGTTAACTTTCAAAGAGTTCTGATCAGCCATTTTACTTAAAAGCAGCTGCACACACTACATAGTCTGCATGTGAGTGTTACTGGCTACACAGTGCTAAATTTCTGTTAGATTAGGGCAGTCTATGGAAAGAACAGCCAGTTCTTAATTACTGCCCACAAAGCTCAGACTCTTCCCCCATCCAGAGAAACTCTCACTGGGGTGAACATAGCCTGCCCAAGCCAGGCCGTAACACAGTCACATCAGCTTATGTTCAGAGGAATTAAGTAAACCACCTGGGTCAACAAGGCCTTTTAGGAGAAAGCAACTCTGCCTTAGTAAAGAAAAGGCTTGTTACCAAAGCTATACCACCCTGGAGCTTCCTGTATTTCTGTTTTCCTTTGCAAGCAGTTCCTTAGGCCAAAGAATAAAGCTACTAGATCTTGCAAAATTAAATGCTTGAAAATTGTTGCTTCTTCAGGACAGGGATCCCAGTGCACACTCCACCCAGCACAGCACCGCTGTAGCTCCTACGTATGGATAGTGTAAGGTAGGAGTGGACATGCCTTTTCTACATGGTTTTTGGCTAAGTTTGTGGACAGTTTCACATGCTGGATTACTACAGACAATACTGAAATCATGTGATACTGAGCCTTGATCTTCAGGAGCTGAGAAATATTTCAGAAAATACCCCTTTACATCCATTAATTAATAGACAGGATGCTTTAGTCTTTCAAGGAAGCCTCATGTTTTATAGAGGGTATCTTTGACATCCATAACCATAAACTGTACTACAAAAGAAGCCCAAACCCCACACACACTTAGTACTTACACTTTCCTGCTCAGGGCAAACTCTCAAATTCTTGCACATTTCCAAGAAATGGGGTAGGAAGTCTCGGTCAAGAAGGATATACACAGGGACTTTGCGGTTGTTATAGGCATCCTGCAGGTCACCAAAGATATCAATATCTGTGAAAGAATCCATCACAAGGGCAATCACCTGCAAGGAAAGTAACAACACTTGTTCAAAGGCTTTATTTTACACAAGGTCTTCCCACGATTTTCTCCTGCTGGTATCATTAAGGCCAGATCCACATTTCTTTGTCCTGCTGCACAGACCCTGGCAAGTTACAAAAGATTTTTGTATTCCCACAATGTCTCTGTCAATTCATTGTGCCCTGAAGCGCAAAGCATAAGCCTGAAGAGGTTCCTCCTTATCCGCTGCTGCACTGAATCACAGCATGGTTTG